GTTGGCTAAATAAGACTAGCTAACTGCTGAAAACAGATACATTCAAACAAGAGAGGGCAAATGTCACTTAAATTTCAGACACCCAACTGTCCAAATAACCATTGTTATGTGATACTTATTAAGCACTTACCATGTGCTAGCCGTAGCAGACATTTAGCATACATTTAGCATTTAGATTTACAAAAATCTTTGTCCTCAGGAGAAAATAGGAAAACTTCAAAGGCACAACATATAAATACAGAAATTCTAAAACATCTCCAAAACAGATTTAAAGTGATTTTTAAGATTTCTTCCTTGTCAGCAGATCTTTGATATTTTTAGTGAATAAAATTACAAGACATTCAAAAGCATAAAGCCTGTGTCACCACGACAGCAGTTGATAATATAATTTTATTGGCACAAAGGTGAGATGTTGGAAAGAAGGCTAGGCTCACTCACTGGCTAACAATCCATTCAGATGTGTAAGACTATACGTGAAAAAACTGACACTTAAAATGCATCAATGACCTTTGGAGCCTGTGATGGTTAATTTTACGTGTCAATTTGGAGGGTATTTTAGATCAGATTAATACTTAAACCAGTGAAATTTGGGTAAAGCAAATTGCCCTGCATAATGCGGATGGGCCTCATTCAATCACTTGAAGGTCTGAATAGAACAAAGACAGGCCTACTCAAGCAACAAACTTCATCTGCACCATTGGTTCTCCTGCTGGCTTCTACCTGCTGGCCTTTGGACCAAAACTACACTATCAGCTCTTCTAGGGCTCCAGTCTACTGGCCCACACTGGAGATTTTGGACTGGCCTCCATAATCATGTGAGTCAATTCCTTAAAATAAATCTCGCTCTTTCTATACACATATACATATATGTGTATATACATATCTACCAATATCTCTATCTATATATTATACAAACACACAAAAATACACAGACACATTCCATTTTCCTATTTGTTCTGTTTTTCTGGAGAATCCTGACTAATACAGAGTCCTTGGAAAACAGTCCAATATAGGCCTATAAAATCCTCAAACATCAAAGGTCTACGTTGTACTTGTTTAATGTAGAGTGTCTTTTCAGTTTTAAACTGGATAGATTTTAATGAGTCCATTTTTATGGGTGACTGAGCAGTAACAGTTAATATTTATTGATAACTCACATATGCTACCTCTACCTCATTTAGTGTTTACAGAAGCTCTATAAGATAGGTAGTATTATTATCCCTATATTACAGATAAAATTTCTAGGACAGTATTTGAGTTCTGGAGTCAGACTGAGTTGACCTTGGGCCAGTTATTTAACTTCCCAAGTAGAAGTTTCCTTCTCTGTATCAAAGAGGATAACTATTATCCTCTCATACACTTGTGTAAGAATTAAATGAGATATAAAACATGTAGAGCACTTTGACCCATATCTGTTCTAATGAAAGTATGAACTATAGCTGTTGCTGCCATTATTAAACCATTAAAGCATGAAGTAGTAACAAGATAATGAGATGTGAGCAAAAGATGATTTTTTTTCTATGTTTAATGTATTGAATGATTCCAAGAATAACTTTTTGTCAAATCAATTTGTTTGGTGTTTCTCTATAGCCTATATTTCCTCTAATGTTCTACACTCATCCAAATGGCTGGCTGCAAAGGCTTCCTGCAGAAGGTGGCATATTGCTAATGCATTTCAAGATGGGAACTTGAAAGATATAAAAAGGATTTGACATCTGGCATGGTGACTCAATTAATTACTGTGTTGGATTAATTAGTGTGCTGCATCTCTTGAGCCAACACCATGAGTCTGAGCAGAGTAATATTACATTGGTGGTTGGCGAATAAGCAATTGAAAAGAGTGTGCTAAATCCAAATCTGATTCAAAGGTTGGTTAAGGGAGGGTGAGTAGGCTAGATGTTTTATAATAAGGATAATTCATCTTCATGATATAAAAGACATATTAAAGTACTGTCCACATTATGAGGACTAATAATATTGCAGAAGTCTTTGCATTTACTCATAGCTGCTCATAAAAACTATGAAGTACTATAACAAATAATTTGCCCAAAGCGAAAACAAAAACAAAAACAAAAACAGCATACCTCTAATCATTGCAGATTTTCTCCCTCAGATTTTGTATAAATTTAGAATTCCTGCAGAAAATTCCCCAACAATTTTATCATGCTCAAATCATGTTACAGATGCTATCGAGGAGGCAGTGTGACATGGCCTTTAAAAATTGCAGATTCTGGAATCAAAAGGCCTGGGTTTTTATTTTCTTATCTTTAAAATACAATCTAAAATAAAACCAAATTCACAGGTTTTCAGGATTAAATGAGCTAATCTATTTCGAATTCTATATACAGTGTCTAGAAAATAAGTATGCAGTATATGCTAACCAACTGTTCTGCAGCAGGAACAGTGGTACCAATGGTAGGACCAGTAGTATTTAATGACATAAAAATCATAAGCAAATTCTAAAAGAGAAAGTTACTACAAAAGAAAAATATTTTAAAGTATATTTTCACTAAGTAAGTTTTTAAATAGAGAAAAATACTACAGTTAAGAAAATAACATGAATTGGATATTTAAACCCTAAAAACAAAACAAAACAAAACTAGGGTATTAAGATTGTTTTCTATAAAGGACTATTACCCACTACTGGTTTTTGATACCCTAATGAGTATTCATACACTTCAAAGAGTATCAAAAGTTCTGAAAACCTCATATCCAAAAATCAGACCTTTGAAAAACATAAAATATGGCACAAAATAGCTTGAGAGCTGTACAGGAGTATGAAAAAAAAAACAACAAAATAATGTCATTTGTGAAAAGCATAGGAAATTATTTCACTGACAAATTAAACTTTCACAGATAGATTATCCACATATCACAACTTAGCATATGATAAAAATGTATAAAAGTACCACTCTACATATATCTGGATAATGACATAAAGATCAATCAAAAGTTGCATTTTCACATAGATATTATTTTGGTATAGTAAAGGGGAAAACATTCATCTCATGCCAATAATAGGTCCCACTTCATTGGCAGTACACTTCTGAAGAAATATTAGAAATGACTAAAGGTTTTGTTGGTGTCCTAAACGTAGTGATAAATAAAATAAATATCTTATTGCCTTAAACATTTTTAAGCAGTGCTAGAGAACCAATAGCAACCTCCAGATAAAATGGATTTAGAATAGTATTTAACTCAACCTTTGATGTTTAGACAATCTTATTCTTCTTGCCTTTGCTTCAGAAATCAGTATCGTTAATGTTGCTCTCTCAAAGGAATCAACAGAACAGTCTATTTGTATATCTCAACTAACCCAGTGTGTGTGGGGCCACATCTGAAAACCTTCTGAAGTAGGTGCACTGGACCACCCAAAATTAAACTGTCCAGATTATTAAATATGTAGCCTGGCCTATCAACTTATTTGCTTCTTAAATACATGTGAAATTGCCTGCTTCATCCTTTTATAAATAACACATGATTTTAGAAAGTAGAAAGTACATCCTTAGACTCTCATATGCTATTAAAAAGTTTGGTGACACAAATATTTCCTATTGATTCCAATCACTACTTTTAGTTGAACCAATAACATCTGTCTCATCCACACGGCATGGAATAAGCAGAGATCCACACATATCAGTTTCTTTCATGTAATCACTTGAACAAGAAATTCTTGCAAGTAATAAATTGAAGAAGAAATTCAAAGTTGCAGAGTGCAGTGCATTTGTCAAAACCCCTCTGGGAGTTTTTACTACAGGTCCCCAACAATGTAGACCGAGTCATTTAGCAGCCATGAGACTCTTCCTACATAAATGGAATTTAGAGAGAAGGACTTACATTTTACATATATAATTTCTACATTTCCTAAAGAATAGAAAACATGTTTTCTCCCCAAGTGTTATCACTTGTATTATCACTTATAATAGGAGAGGTCCTAATATCCTGATTGCCAGAACCTATGAATGCTACATTACACGGCAAAGGGTAGACTTAAAGAAGCAGATAGAATTAAAGTTGCTAATGAGCTGACTGGAAAATAGATTATCCTAGATTACCCAGATGGGTCCAATGTACTCAGAAGTGTCCTTCAACATGGAAGAGGGAGACAGGCGAGTCAGAGGCAGAACGGGGACATGAGAAAGACTCAATCAGCCATAGCTGGCTTTGAAGATGGAAAGGGAGATAAAGCCAAGGGCTATGGGCAGCCTTGAGGGTCTGGAAAAGCTAAGAAAACAGGTTCTGCCCTAAAGACTCCATAGAAGAGCTCAGCCCTTCCAGAGACCTTGATTTTAGCCCAGTGAAATTCATTCCAGACTTCAAACCTTTAGAACTACAAGGTGATAAATTTGTGTTTTTTTAAAGCCACAAAGTTTGTAGTCACTTGCTATAGAAGCAATCGGAGACTAATGTATCTAATTAAGAAATGAAGTTTAAATGTAACCAAACACCTCATTTTTCCATTACAGTCATCTCTAATTATATAATCTTTATCTAATAATCTAACTAACAGTCATCTCTATAATCTTTAGACCTAGAGGTAGACTTTCTGATCACAGAACTTTTTAGAAAAGTTAACAACAAAAAATACTGCTAATCATTCATCCTTGCTCTTAAAGGTACCAACAGTAGCACCAAGGCATAACAAGGTTGTTTATTTCTTGCTCATATGTAATGTATGACAATTAATTTGTGTCATCTTAAAAATAAAAGCATTTGTATATATTATTAAATGTGAACAGTATTAGTCTGGCTAAGCAGATAAAGCAACAACCTTGCAAATTACCTTACTAAACAACCACTTAGTATGATTAACCTGTTTCCTTCTAAATTCTGTGTATATTACTGTCACAGACAAGCCACTTGGAAAATATCCAAGTTTTGTGTCCACGAAAAAGGAAAAAACAAACGGTTATTTTTAGTGATTTCACTGGAACGCAAGCAGAGCTAATTTCTGAGCTGTGACAAAATATTGAGTCAACCATCTTGGAACATCCACATACCAGTGAATTATTGTTCAAGTCCATCTTCCCAGCGAATGGCCCCCAGGTTGTTCCCACAGGAAGTTGCTGCCGACTCTGAATTTTTCGTTCCCCATCTTTCTGAAAAACCTCCAGCTCTCCTGCAGACAATAAAAACAAGAGGTGTTTAGAGTATTTTCGCTTGTGCTTTAACAATAGCCACCTCTTTTTGTGCGTTTGCTTTACATGCACAATATTCTCAGGATTCATATAAGAGAATTCATTATCTTGTCTGAAAAACAACTGATCTTGTTATCCTGACAGGAATATAAAACTTGTCCTTATAATCATATTCAAATTTAGTCCAATTTATTTCTTGCACCTTTTCACACACATCATCTATGGAAGTCAATTCTGTTTAGTGAGTTCTTAAGCACAAAAATATTATAACATTTCCTCAAAAAGCATTGATCTAATGCCAAACAGATAAACAAGAAACATTATGACAATGACTTAGAGTTAAAAATCTTACATTTGATCACCAATGTAAGTAAAAAAATTACTATATATATATATATATATATATATATATATATATATATCTTAGGCAATAACTTTATTATAGTTATTCAAGACTTGGTCAACAATAAACATCTGGAAAGTTTTTGAAGGTACTTGATAATTTTCTAAAATTTTACTAGTTTCAAATGAATAAAACATCTACATGTACAATGAGTAGAGATTCATGTCTTCTCAAATTAAAAATGTTTCATCAAAGTCATTACTTTTTTATATTTGGTACTTTAGGTAAGATTCTACCTTAGCTACAGGGTTTGGACAAAAACACTTAAGAAATATCCAGTTTAGGATGTTCTTCCTTTCATTTCCTCCAAATTGGTATTTTGGGGAAATAGCAAGTAAAGACAGTATACACACTGGCATAAAGGAGGAATTGGAGTTCATCAAATGCTCACTTTAAGAAATTAATTAATTAGTTAAAAATAAATTAATTAACAAAAACAAATAAATTAAGAATAAATAAATAAATAAAACGGCTTCAAAATTTCAAAGAATGGCCATCAGCCTGAATATTATTTAGGATAAACAGAAAAAGATCTCAATCAGGAATTAGAGTCTCTCTTTTTAAATAATTATATCTATGATATTTAGGCCATGCAGTATTACTATACCATCTTATCATACCAACATTTTATATTTTATAATATTAATTTTAATAATATAACATATCCATTTGAAATGTATTTCTCTTCTCAGCATGCTCAAAAGCAGACATGAAAATGGGAAGGAATACAATAGGAAGAATATAAATGGAAATCCATAGAGAATAGAAAGCTGAGGAAAATTCTGAATAGAATATATTCAGTAAATAAATTTTCCAAATGATATATAAGTCATGACAAGTAACATATTATGAAAATGTTGCATTAATCTGGCCTTAGTTTCTTTTCAAATCAATAGCTGTCTTTAAATATGAAGATCTAATCTTGATGTTTTTAAAAGCAACACCATCAACCTGCGTTCAGTTATTTCTTCTTTATATCTCTACGTTTGTGTCACCTCCTTTTAATAGTTAAAATACCAGACATTACATGTTTTTTAGGATTGCTTATCCCAAAACCCAAAAATCAAAGTATTTAAATCACAATCAGCTAAATTATTGTGTAATCGTTAAATTGTGCCCTTACAATATAAATATAACTGTATCTGAACAATGAACAATGAAGATATTCTTATTCACAGTAAAATATTTAAATTCAAGAACTACACCTCCATTCTCTCTCCTCACACTGCCTTCCTCTCCCGCTTGTCAAATATACTAAAAATGGAAGAACTCATTAAATTAAGATAGACACACACCTCCCAATTCTTTTTTCATTGTGATGTATCAGTAGCTTGCTATGACTGGCAATGAGGAAAATAAACCCATAAAGACTCAATGGGACTGAGCTCCTGACATATAGTTTTAGAAACAGTACGTTTAGATTAAATAATATATTCATGCTTAAGTATCAAATCATGAAGCTTATTCAGTGTCCAGGGAATAAGCAACACTAAAAATTTGGTTTTGTAGGTGGGATAAAAAACCCTTTCTGAGATTTGCCCCTGAAACTGTTTTTCATCCCGTACAATCTTTTTGATTAATGCATTGGAATCAGAGGCCTATAAAGAAACATCCTCAAAGTCAGATCACAGTTAACAATCTACTATAATGTCAAAAAGGAACCCAGTGGAAAATGTTACTCAATGTGTGTGTNTATATATATATATATATATATATATATATATATATATTCATGTGATAATGCAGTTATTTAAATATTTAGAATGTATTTTTCTATTAGAAAAGAAACTGTTTAATTTCTGTCTGATAGGAGTTCTTAGGATTTTGAACCACTTACTTACATTTTAAACAACTTCTTTACAATCCACTATTTCAAAGGTAAAATACACTTCAGTCCCATAGTTAAACACTAGTTAAGAATGTTCTTTTCTACATACACATGACGCCCAAATAATTTGTTAGTTTTAACACTGTAAAAAAAAGTCATGTCATATTTAAATGATACCAGAGAAATCATGAGAATCTTGGAAACCCCTTTTCATCCTCCCTTTCTGCCACTGACATTTTTCATTTGAAAAGCGTTCAGGCTCAGCCAGTGAGGTCTTATCTATACCTATGGATTTACAAGCAGGTCTGTCTTTTAATGGATTAAGAACTACAAACTTAGGGCAGATCATAAAGTGATAGCCAAATATCTCCAAAGTTTTTGAGGTGTCTTTAACTGTACATTAAAGTTTTAAGCAAACCACAAATACTTTTATTAGCTCCAAGAGAGCCGTCACAGAGAGTCCAGTTAACCGTTCAAGCTATCAAGTCAATCTTTTCAACTTTATTAGATAAGCAGGCAAATCCATGTCTCCTTTCTTGCTTATCAAGAACTGATTTCATGGTTTGGGAAATCCTTCCTGTTGCTGAAATAGTTAAATAAAAATATTCACTTATTCACAACGGCGTTATAGAGAACTGCAAACAAATGGAAAATAATGCATTTAGATGCTACCAAGGCTACATAGGTTAATGATAGCAAGAGAAATAAGACATTGTATAAATGGAAGTTATACTTAACTTCCATGTTGCTTTAGTATAACATTTTTAATTTTTTCAAAGATTAATTAGTGTCATAAAATAGAGGCAACATTACTGCATTAAAGGTAAGAGGATTAATGTTTAGCCCCAACTCTATCCAATAACTAGCTGAATGGCCTTGAATGTGTTATATGTTTTCTGGCTCTTTGGTTCATCATCGTTAAAGAGGGGATTGTACTCACTTGCCATTTGGTAAAGGGTCCATGACATCATAATTTTCTTTCCCCAGATATGACATATTATGAGAAGTAAAAAGAGTACCGGGCTGACAGTCAAAGACCCAAGTCCTAGAACAACTTTATCATGAAATGGATGTTTGGCTTGAAAAGATCAGAGACTTTGAAATCTGAAAGCAGAGCTCCAATTCTTACTCGATTTGTTTGTTCATTCTTTTTGCCTCTGTACATTACTTTATTCATTCATTTATTCTAATATTTATTAGGTATCTACTAAATGTCAGACAGTGGGTTATATCCAAGCATAATTAAAAAAAAAAAACGGAAAACCTAAACCTGGAATACATTTCAGGAAATGTAATACATAAGGCTTGGGAAGTAAAGCTATGGAATTTAGGGATTATTCAGATTTTAGGAGTCAAGGAGGGAAAAATGCAACAATGATGTGCAAGTATCTGGCTTGGGCTGATGGGCCAATGCTCATGTACCTACTGAAACAGGGAACACAGAAAAAAAACAAGATTTAAGTGTAAGATAAGGAGTCATAATTTGGAAATACTGAAGTCGATATGGCTGTAAGGAAGACAAGAGATGACTTTTCAACCGGCAGGTGCAAGTCTGGGGCTCAGAAGCAAGGTCTTGGCAAGACTGATAAATACGGGTATTTACTCACTAAAATGAGCTTGTATAAGGTAATAAAAGTGATAAGATTGTTGATCTAGGAGAGTGTATCACGATAAAAGTAGAAGACCTAGGACATAGTTCCAGGGATCTTCAAAAGGCAGAATGAAGGGGCCGGCTCAGTTGGTTAAGAGCTCGCTCAAGAGTTTGAGTTCTGAGCAACAGCGGTTTGAGTCCCGGCCCAAGCTGAGCTGCCGCTGAGCTGCCAACAGGTGACAGGATGGCTCAGCTTAAAAAATAAGTAAATAAATAAATAAAAGGCAGAATGATGGAGGAGCAGGCCCCAGAAAATTTAGAAGTGCAAGAGAACAGAAAAGCAACTGCAGAGGGCACCATCGCAGCTAATGGATTGATTCAGAATTTAAAGGACGAGGGAATAAATCAAGTAATGTAAACATTTATGACAGTAAGACAGGGACTGGAAAGATGCCTTTCGATGACGTGGAAATCATGGGTGTCTGGAGTGAAAGGAGTTTTGTAGAATAGGAGGGCAGAGCACAGATGGGAATGGGTTCAAAACTGAAGTAGAGAAGTCGAACAAGACATGTGATCCTCGGCAAGTTCCTTAACCCTTTGAATTTCACTTTCGGCATCCACAATAGGAATTTCAATATCTTCCCCATATGGTTGCTGCAAGAATTAACTCAGATAACATATGCAAAGTACCTAATAAATGTTGACTCCTTTACCCAAAAGAGACTGAAGCATTCTAAGAGCATGTCCACATATTTCTATCATCACATCTAACATTCACCAGGGTCTCTGGTCACATTCCCTCTTTAATACCTTTGACCAAAATACTACCCATACCTTGATTACCTTCTTTTCAAATACCACCTTTCTTATCAGGGTTCTCCAGGTATTTATCAACTCAGATATAGATGACCAACAGCCTCAATTCACTCAACAGCCCCAATCAGGCTCCATGCCCTGGCCAGGATAAGCTTATTAAATCCACACTTTCACCATGCCACTCATTTGGGCAATTTTCTTTACCATCCCAACTTGAACTTCTGTCTGAATCTTAATACCATCACAGCACTGCTGCACAGTGTCTGCCTAACTTGCTGTTCTGCTCTCCAGAATACATTGTCTTTCCTCCAGTCAGGAAATCCTTTACTGTCTCTTCCTCATG